AACATGCCTTTTCCTGCCATGGGTTGGGGGTGGGGGGTAAAGCCTCAGGACCTGATAGGTATAAAGCTTGTGGCTCCAGTCTTCCCTTCTTTGCAAAGAAATCTATTTGGACTCCTGACACAAGCAACTAGGTCTTTCTTTGTATTTCCAAGGAGTGTTTGTCTATACTAAGGAAGACAAGATTTCTCTTTATGTCTCAAAGAAATTAGTGCCTCTTTCCTTAGGTATAAATGGCCAGGCTGACTTTGGAAGGTGTCCTTGCCTGCCTAGGCACCTGGGGTAAGAATTTAGAGGAGAGGAGCCAGGCTTAGCCACACACATCTGTATCCTAGGCTGAGACAGGAAGATTAACATTTGAAGCTAATCCAATCTTATGCCAAAGTTTGTCTCCATAACAGACAAAGGACAAACGAAAGCTTCTTATTTGCTACAAATAAAAAGAATATCTCCTTTAGAAACCATCGCCGACATTCAATACAATGATAATAATTCAGATATTAAATACTAAGCAGGAACGTGTGCCCTCCTTAGCCTCTGTCGACCAAATAAAACACGTCTCTTGTTTGACTCCAGTCACCAACCTGCTAATGTAACTAAGAAAAGGTTTGAGCTGTCACATCAAGATTTGATAGCTGTTCAAAGAGTCCTTTGCTTAGGGAAAAGTATATTAATTTCTGCTTCCTTTTTAAGACTCCCACTCGCCAATACCATTTCTGAAAATTCATTCCTCGGCTGATGGAGAACTATTTCAGTGTCAAAGTGCATATCTGGAGTGCTGGCCCCAAAGTTGTCAAAAACCGATATGTCAGTAAATTAATTTGCTTAATCACGACCCAGAGCCAGGTAAAAACATCTGCCTAGATGTCAGTGAAAGGTAAGAGTGGAGAGAAACTTGAAAGCTTTGCAAATCAGATGAGCTCCAGCTAGGAGGAGGCTCCTTGTCTGCCAGCAGCGAGAGAAGAGAGAGCAGTATGGGGCACAAGCTTGCTGAGTTCCCTTTCTGGTGTGTAGAGGGGATGGGGGTTGGGGGTGGCACACACTGAAACAGGAAGTACAGGGCACTGGGGACAGGCTGTGTGCTTCTTTAGGTCGCTCAGTTCTTTTCAGCAACATTTGTTTTTCAGCCCCATACTTTGAATAATGCTGGGAATTGTCTTCTCAAAGTGCTTGGGAGCCATCCTTTTGGGAGACTGACCACACCTGAGTGCAAATTATGCTCACTGAGCTCTTATAGAGCAGGGCTCTTGAAACTGAAGGTGGCAGGGGATAGCATAAGATGGGAAACCCAGAAGAGAACAGCAACCAGTAACCCAGTCTCAGGAGTTCAGAGTAGGCGACAGTTGCAGCTGCTGCAGCTATGACAACCTGACAAGGCCTTGTTCTTGTCCCCCATCTTCCACCCAGACAAAGGATCCTCTTTGCTTTGCTAATTTTCCGCCCTCTGTGCTTGAGCTGTAGCCTCTGCTTCTGCATTTTCTTCTTCTGCCCTGTGGTTTACACCCCAACTGTTTCTCTGAAAGAGAACTTAGTTAGGATGGCCTGACACTGAGTGAGAGAAAAAAAAAATCAGTACAACGAACAGAAAATCAACCTGACAATTGTTTCTACTAATAAGCATTTATTTTTCTGTCTGTGGCAAACATGCCGAGGTGAATGGTTATAGACATTCACTCCACGGCTTAATGCTAACACTGATGACTCAGGCTTCTAGTATCCACAATCTTTCATTTGTGTACATGGTGTGTGTGTGTGTGTGTGTGTACGTGAGCATGCATGTGTGTGTAAGAGTACATAAGTGCATGCATGTATGTTCTCATTTGGGTGTGTAAGTGAGTATGCTTGTGTGTTTGTTGGCATAGGGAAGCCAGACATACATTGTTTTCATCAGTCATTCTCCACTATATATTTTTGTTTCTCTGTGTAACAACCCTGACTGTCCTGGAACTCACTTTGTAGACGAGGCTAGCCTGGAACTCACAGAGATCATCATGCCTCTGCCTCCCAAGTGCTGGGATTAAAAGCATGTGTCATCACTGCCCAGCTTCCACTATATTTTTTGAGGCAGGGTTTCCCATTGAACCCGGAACTCATCAGTTTGGCTACACTGTCTAGCCAATGAGCTCCAAGGATCTGCCCGTCTCCTTCCCCCACCACATCCCCATCACTGGCCTTACAGACTTTTTGCCTGCTGCACAATGTGGGTGCTGCAGATCTGAATCAGGCCCTTATGCTTATGCGGCAGGCACTTTGCCCATCTCTCCAGTCGCAGTTCCATTTTTAGCTGTGGATTTGTTTTCTCCTAAGACTTAGTGCATGAGAGGTGCCAATTGCCACTGCCCAGTAGAATCACTGTGTGTGCCATCAAAGCCAGGAATTGGAAAGGGTCAAGGCTAGTGAGTTCTCTTGTTGTATCTGTTCTTATAAAGCTCTCCAGTCACGCACAGACTGATGGGAGTTCCACAAGGAAAAACACTTTTTGTTTTTACTCCCCATACCTCTCTCATCCATCATGCTGTTATCTGATCATGTCATGCCATCCCCTGCCTCAAAGTCAGTTATTTGCAGGATAGGAAAGTCACCCACTAAATGAAAATGAGGACATGACTGTTTCAAGGTATGGTAAAATTTCTGGTGACTTTCAATAAAAGGTTTACCTTTCTAGTAAAAAGAGACAAGTAAAAGAAATGTGTGTGTCACACATTTACGCACATATGAATTTCTTAAATCTTATATTAAATCCTTTTTTTTTTGTTCCTACAATCCTGCTGCATTCTTTGGTAGTTATAAACACAATTTCAATAACTATTTGTGGCGATTGTGTCACCTATGTTTATACATTTTGCAAAACAAAAAAACATAGTACATACACAACACATGTGCTTTGAAGGTGTATAATTTACAGCGAGCTCTCCAGATGGTGATAAACACTACACCAAATAGAAAGTTAGATATAGAGTAGTGTGGAGACAGAGGCCTGGGGAAGCATGTGGAGTTAAGGGTATTGGCTATAACTTATAGAGTGGCAAAGAGAATGTAAACTTCTGTGCTCTAGCTACAGACCCTCAGGATCTCTGCTTCAAAAGCAAGCAGGCAAACATCCCTGCACTGATAACGGGGGAAGGAAATGCCAAAGCTTGGGCACACTGTGTGTTACTCCTTGTTGGCTCTGCCTCATGCTTTATGTCTAGGCTTTTAGTTTATTTACTTGGAAAGACTGCATCCCACTTGCTCCCTGCCACCAGGAGTGCTGCTGGTAATCAGTCTAAGCTGCCAGTCTTCTTTGGGGAGGTGCTTCGGGTGAAGTCACAGGAACCCCAAATCATGTCCTGTTCAGGGCTGGTAAGGCATAGCTTCCATTCTCACACCCATCCAGCCACCCCAACCTCAGAGAGGCTTGTGAGGTAGGGATGTCCTCACACATCAATTCTTGCTCTTCCTCCTCCTCCCTCCCTTTTACAGGGCTTTATCCCAGCAGCAGCAGCAGTCCCTAAGAAATGTTTTGCATCTTACTTTCCAATTCCTATAGCCACTACAGCAAAGGCTGAAAAATCACATAGTGTGGTCTATCCTGCTATATACTCCTAAACAGCAAAGTGCAGTAATTTATCCTTGCACCCACACAATGACTAGAAATGTCTTTCACCGGGTGTAGCTCATAAGCACACCAAAGGAAACAGTCTTGCAGTCAGTGTAAAGCCTTCCTATTCCTAGCACCAAGGATGATGGTATTTGGTGTGTGTGTACCTTTTCCAGAAATGCAGAAAGCTGAAATTTAATCTGGGTCAGATCTACTGAATACAAACTTGCACAAGATCACCAGGGTCTATACTGACTGTAAAGTCTGAGACATACTGGGCTGCATGATTAATATAAATAGCGAGCTTTAGCTGGTAATCCCTAGTCTGCACAATGCTTTCATAGCAGTTTGCTTAAAGATAGGACTTGGGTACAGCAAAGACTGATTGAATGTCATGCTGAGATTTCAGACTTATTGAGCTTGCACTCTAAGAAGCAGAGACAAACAGTCAATGTGCATATCTGTAGTGTATGTGGTGGGAGAGGTGGAAAGTTGTTATTAAAAATAGACTGGGATAAAGAGAAGTGGAGAGTGGGTTGCAATCTAAAATTTTTTGCAAAGATGGTGATAAGCAGAACTAAAGCAGGGGAGGGAGTTTGAGGATGAGTCGTCTTGGGTTTTGTCGGCATTAAGAGGAAAGACAACTAAAGTGAATGCAAGGGTTTGAGAGAGCTGCAAACTAATGGATGCATTCCCAGAGGCAAAGGGGCCGATCTCTTGATGAGACTACATAATACTTTGTCATTTGACAGTTCAGTATTAAAATGGACATGCACTTTTTTGTGGTAGTTGTTAGTTTGTTTTTTCTAAAAACAAAGTGCTTACTCAAGCACATTGGGTTTGTGTGGTGGGAGTCTGCACAAACATAAAAAACAGAGGTTCAAATTCCGAAGACTAAACCGACAGGAATTGGAGGAGGCTTATTTGAACGCTTCCAAAGCCTCAGGCTCCAAGATGGTAGATGGATGAGATAAGCGTGGTGTCTGCAACCCCAGGTCACTACAAAAACAGAAAGAGGAATAGCTGAAGGTGGTGTCAAGTTGAAAGACCGTAACCTTCAGATCGGTGTTCTTGTAACCCAGAGGCCAGGCCCTGAGGCGCAAGAATGTTCAAGCCTTAGGCTAGCCCACCTCCAACTTAGTCAGGCTATTCCGCCCACGCCCTGCTCTGCTAGCTTGCCTAGCCAGACCTCGCCCGTTCCCGACATCCCAGTACAGGACCCGCCTCCTCGTGGAGACTCCGCCTCAAAATCCCACCCCTGTCTGGTATCATCCCCAGTCAACGCTTACAAACCGCGTGTTCTCTCCGCCCCCTCCTGCCGAGGCTCCGCCTCTCTCTAAAGCCACACCTCTCAGAGACTGTAACTTCTGCTTTGGTGCCGCCCATCCCTCGGGCCCCGCCCCCCTGCGGACTTAAGCTGCGCGGCGGACGTGACGCCAGGCCCGGGCCACAGGCGGCGCGGCTAACCTGTCAGTCCGGTCTCTGGCACCGGGATGGAGCCGCAAGCCGCATCTAGCAACATGATTCTGCTGGTGGTCCTGATGCTGTCTGCGGAGGCCGGGAGCGGAGCCGTAACAAGCATCGAGGATCCAGAGCCGCCCTCGGGTAATGACTCTGAGCCGCTGCGGGCAGCGTTGGGGCCGGAGCCCAGGCGGGAGACGCCCGGCCGGGAAGTCCCTCCTAGTCGCGCTGCACGGCTCCGGGCCAGGCATTCCTGGGTCCCGGATCCCGGGACCGCAGGGGCGCCTGGCTCACCGCGATCGACACGCCACTTTCGCCACTTCTTCTCTGCCAACGCAAACCTTTAACGTCTAAAGTTTAGTCTGTTATCGTTAGTTTCCAGGGCAGCGTTTGGCATTGCATGTACAACTCACTGTTTACAGACTTTATTTTCCGGGTGTTGTCCAAGTCCTTTGTGTGGGAGAGAAGAAAGGTGTGCCCGCTGATATTCTGGTTTGTTAGACAGGCTTTTAAGTGTGGAAAGTGTTGGGTTCAAGGGTTCCTATCATAGCGTAACTCTTCAGAGCCTTTGATTTCACCTGCCTGTTCACATTAACCAGGGAATACATCCTGGGGATAGTTTTCCGTTATAGACTAGCTCTAGAAAGAGCAATAAAGCTTTTCATCCGCTCCCTTTCAGTCTTAAGAGTCTGAGATGTTTCCAGTTAACAGCTGCGGGAGGCATGGAGATACCCAACCTCTTTAACTCTAGGCTCTATGCTTAGGCGTGCAACATTCCCATTTAGCCCTGCCTTGACTTGATCCTCAAAGGTCAAGCAAAACTATTCACAATGGCTGGGAAACAGCCACCTGGATGTCAGTCGACAGAAGAACAGAGAAATAAGATGAGGTGCACGTACAAAATGAAATTCCATTTAGGTATAAAGAAAAATGAAATCATAACTATAGAAAAAAATGGAACCAGAAGCAGTGTTAGTTGTATTAAGTGAAATAAGCCAGATTCAGAAACTCAGGAAGACAAATACTATGTTTTCTTACTATATGTAAACCTAGATTTAAGTGTGTGTGGGGGGGACCATGAGAGGGGAGGAAAAGATCTTGAAGGAGAGGGGGAGAAAATAAAAACATGGGATATGAATGCAGAAGGGAGGGTTCTTGGGGGAGGCAGGTGACCAGAAACAAAGAGGCAGGAGCACCTGGGGGACAAATTAGAAAGTATGATGACAGGTGTGCAGTATGTGTGAAAATGCTGTGTTAAAATCTATGACTTTTGTAATTTAACATTTTTTAATTAAATAGAGAATGTACTCATTAAAAAAATGTCAAGAAAACAAATCCTTGGTCATCCCTTAGGATAGACAAGGTGCCAAGGGTTAGGAAGACTCACAGTATGGTTAGGACATATTGAGTCATAACAAGTCTATTTTCATAGCTACCTCCAACGTAGTGTTGCTGGTCTCAGCATCTATGACGATGAGTCACACAGGGTTGCCCAAGTGGTAGAGGTCATTTACTAGGTGGTAGAGTCCACACTCTAAACCACCTTGCCAACTGCCATTACTCGGGGCAAGCTGACTGTCATTGTGGGCAATTGCCCTATGCTGTGAAGAGAACTTGAACTTGCAGTCTGCTGGAAACCAAAATAGATGTCCCAAACCCAGAGAGAATGGTGTCTGTAGGGATGTAAAGTGGCATGTTAAACACTTAGGCTGTGTGTCAGGAGAGCGGGAGGAAGCAGTTAAACGACATGCTGTGTGTAACAGCAAGGGATGGGAACGTTGCTTTAACTGACTTAACCTGAGAGAGAAGTTTATTGGTTCGGAGAATCCAAGTCTGAGTTAAGCAGAAAATGAGAGATATCAGCTTGGCTTCAGGAACACAAGAAGGCAACAGCTTACCATTTCTTATTTCTAGTGCCCTGGCTGTGGACAAATTCCCTACTTGGCAGCAGTCATGGCTTTCAAAATCTTGCAACTTCTACTGAACAAAATCCCAGAGGAGGACTGTGATTTCCCTAGCTTGATTGGGTGCCAACTGGTGTGGGAAGTACATTGTTGAAAGGTGTGGCATGGACTTTTCAAAAATAACAGCACAGTGTTCCTGACAGAGGTGCAAGATCTGATCCAAGAAAGTAATGTGCCCCTTATTCCTGGTGTCCATGGGTGATCTTGGGAAGGGTTAGATAATGCTATGTAGAAAGGCCAGGCATCATGTAAAGTGTTTGAGGAAGAAAGCCCATTAGGAGACGGGAGCTCAAGGGCCAGGAGGATTCCATGAAAAATGGCTGTGTAATGGAGGAGAGGGCATCTTCTGAAGGACCATTGAGAAGGCACAGTCGGTTGAACTCTGGGTGTGGGTGGAGAAAAGAGTAGCACAGCTGCCTGGTTCGGCAGCATCTCCGGTGGAGTGCCAGACACTCCCTTCTATTGAGGTTCCTCCTGTGTGGTTTCAAGTCTTCAAAGCCTGCCCGCTATGGTATCTGCGCCCTTCTGACCTGAACCCTAGCATTTTATAATACAGGGTGGGTCAGCCCTCCCATGTTTTTTTTCCCCTCACTCTCTTTTCAATACATTCTGTAGATTTTTCTTAAGCGCATTTCTTTAGATTTTTGTTGTGTCCCTTATGCTGGTTATTTGTTTGTGTATTTTTGTCTGAGGTAGTAGTTTATTACATGATCCAAGCTAGTCTCAAACTGTACTTCCTGGCTCAACCTTCTGAGTGTTGGGATTATAGCCTCAGACCATACACCAGTTCCCTTTGCTTAGATTCATTGAAAGTGTCCACTTCTGATTTACAATCCCTACAGATTTTGGAGGGTGATGTTTTGATTCTAAAACAAGCCCTAAGAGATGGAAAACAAATAATAGTTTTTAAAAGCTAACATACAAAGTTTAGCAATAGTGTAGGTGGTTTTGTTTCCTTCGTACAGGTACTCAAGATGAGGTTTTGATCAGTGTGGAGTGAGAGACAGGAGTTGGTTTATATGTAATTTTCTTACTAAAGGGGAATCTTTATTTTAGACGTCCCAGAGATTCATAATCAAAATACACCATATCCATTTTAGTCTCATCCGAGTTATGGAAGTAACTTACTGTTATGTAGTATTCAGATTTCACAGTGGCTTTATACAGTCGTGACCAAGCCAAAAAATAGCACTGTTGCATGAAGTAGACTCTTGTGAAAAAAATCAGAAAACTGTCATCTCCACCCCACTTTATATGTGGAGGTTATAACCCTTGTTTATTAAAGGATCACAGGGATATTTAATTGAAATGAACAGAGCATTGTGCATAGTCATCTTTACGTACCTTCCCCAAAGCTTTGTTTTCTCCTTGATAAAGTAGACACTGTAATCCTGTGTCATTCATAGGACGGCTGTGGGGACTGCCAGAGATGTGTCCTGTAGAGTTTGATATACTTGAATCACTATCATTACTTTAACAGATAGTATTAAATGTTAATTGTTTTAGTTAGATGTGAAGGTGTGTATTGGCCTTAAAAAAATCCAGGTTAATATAAAAAATGTAAAATTTGCTCAAGAGAGAATACTCATTTTTCTAGCATTTACTTGTTTTCTGTTTTGTTTTTAAGCAGAAAAGGCTATTTTTAATTCAGTTCCCAAACTATTTTCCAACTTTAGAATAAATTAGTCCAGGGGCTTTGGCTGTAGTTCAGTTATAGAACACATACCTGACAAGTCCCTGGGGCTCTCCCTGCCATGCTGCTGAGTGGTGAGGAAGTCTCAAGACAGCTCTTTCAACTTAAACCTAAGGCATGCTGCTGCTCCCAAGTTAGAAGCTGAAATGCACAAAGAAGAACATCTCTTCCCACAGATTGTGAATGACCCATTCCAGAGGGAGAAGGTAGCCATAAATTTATCTTGATAAAAATAACAAACCCTTGGTATTTTCTCTCAGCTTACAATACAAAATCACCTGTGTGTCTCCATGCAGATCTTCCTACCTGCAAGCCAGCAGATCTTAGTTCCAAGAGTCAGTCATTTGGGAAGGGACAGATGATTCATTTCATTTGGTTTTGAGTTGAAGGAGTCTGGGAATGAGATCGTCAAATAATTCTGAGCCCCTCTCTAAAAATAGCAAGTTACAGAAAAACTGTGTTTTCAGGAGACCACAAAATCTGTAAGATAGTTTTAGTCTGTGAAACCATTCTAGCGTCATCTTAAACTCCATAGATAACAATGCCTCTTTGGTTTCTCTACATGTCTTTTTATTTATACAGTGTAAATATATCCTTAATAGAGGTTTGCTGTGAGCCTTAATTATTTTAACTACTCTACATTGTAATTTAAAGGTCAGGTGATAAAATGTGAAACTTACTGACAAATGTGACAGTTGTGTAAGTTTGGCAAAGACAAAAGTGATGTCTAATAACCTAACCACATGGTTTCTCTTCTGGTTATATTAAACCACAGGTGATGCCTTTTGGTATAAATCAAAAGTTTCTCTTTAGTAGTAATTCATGCTACAATTCACTGAAACTTCTTCCTACCACCCATTTGCTTGACGTGGGCTATAGAGTGATTTGAAGGCCAGCCTGGGCTACTGCCTCCAGCAAGAAGGTAGATACGTGTAGTTGTAAGTTATATTTTATTATGATGAGGGTCATCACACAGGATTCACACTCTAAATTCTGAACTTTGGTCCTAAGCCTATGGCCCCAAGGCTGCTCACCTGTGGGTCACATCTCAGCTGAAGTTCAGGCCAGTCTCTTAACAGAAGTCTCTGATTAGAGGGTCAGGATCCTGGGGGAGACTCTCCAGCCCCAGGGCAGAACAAGGCGGCATCTCTCCGGATGTGCAGAGCAGGGCATCGCTCTTGCTCTTCTGCGTATATGCTGTGCAGTGGGTGTTGTGGAGTTGTAATCATGTGTCTGTTATCTTGAGTGAGTGATGTCACTGGGTTCTGGTTATCAGGGGCAGCCTTGGCTGTAGTGGGGATGCTGACTAAGCTATTTTTACATGTCTAAAAGGCATTTTTGACTATGCTCATTACATCTACAGTGTGATCCTGTCTCAAAAAACAAATCAAGCTATCAAACAACAGCAAAGCACCTGATTGCTGCTGCACAAGTCTGTTATTGCTTATGGCTCTATGTTGCATGACTCAATGGCTTCTTCCTACATA